TTGCGAAGAACCAGCTCTTGGTTTCATTGGTCTTTCGGATTGTTTCTTTGTTTTCCATGTCATTGATTTCTGCTCTAAGTTTTATGATCTCTTTCCTTCTGCCTGGTTTAGGGTCTTTCTGTTGATCCTTTTCTAAGGTCTTGAGCTGTGAGGTCAAGTTGTTTATGTGCATCGTTTCTACAGATCTAAGATATGCTTGCAGAGCTATGAATTTTTCCCTTAACACGGCTTTCGCTGCATTCCATAGGTTCTGGTAGCTCATGTCTTCATTCTCATTTGTTTCCAGGTATCTTTTGATTTCGTCCTTGGCTTCGTTCCTGACCCACTCGTTGTTTACCATCGAGTTGTTTAATTTCCAGGTGTTTGATTTGGTTCTCCGTGTCTGTGTGTGATTCACTTCTATCCTCAGTGCATCATGGTCCGAAAAGATGGCTGATACTATTTCTATCTTCCTGATTCTATCGAGGTATGTTTTGTGTCCTAGCACATGGTGTATTTTGGAAAATGTTCTGTGTGCACTGGAGAAGAATGTGTATTCTTTCTTTTTGGGGTGTAAAGCCCTGTATAAGTCTATAAGCCCTCTCTCTTCTATTTCTTCTTTCAAAGCCAATAATTCCTTGCTGGATTTTGTTCTTGTTGATCTATCCAGAGGTGATAATGCGATGTTGAAGTCTCCAAGTACTATTGTGTTGGTAGCAATGTCCTCCTTAAAATCTGTTAGCAGTTGTTTTAAATATTTAGCTGTTCCCTCATTAGATGAGTATACATTTAAGAGTGTGATTTCTTCCTGTTGTACGTAACCCCTGATGAAGACAAAATAGCCTTCACTGTCCCTTCTCATCTTTTTCAACGTGAAATTAATGTTTTTAGATACTAGTATGGCCACCCCAGCTTTTTTGAAGGAGCTGTGTGCTTGCAGGATTCTTTTCCAACCTTTGACTTTGAGTCTGTGTTTGCTCTGGCTGTTGAGATGAGTTTCTTGTAGGCAGCAGAATGTTGGGTTCTGTCTCTGTATCCATTTTGCCACTCTGTGTCTCTGAAATGGTGAACTTAGACCTTTGACATTGAGAGAGAGTATGGTTATGGGTTTTTTTGTCATGTTTCTGTGCGGGTGTATTGTGGTTGTAGGGTTTGTCTTGTTTCATAGTAGCCCCTTTAGCCCTTGTTTTAGGTTTGGTTTTGAGTCTATGAAGTTCCTGATCTGCTGTTTATCTAGAAAATAGTGTACCGTTCCTTTGATTTTGAGGGAGAGTTTAGCCTGATAGAGTATTCTTGGTGAAGCATTCATTTCCATGAGTTTTTTTTTTTACTATGTCTCGTCAATGCCTTAGGGCTTGGAGGGTTTCCTCTGATAGGTCTGCTGTGAATCTAAGGGATGCTCCTTTGTATGTGATTTCCTTCTTTGCCCTTGCTGCTTGCAGTATTGTGTCTCTATTGGCATTATCGATCATTCTAACTATGATATGTCTTGGAGTGTTTTTGTTGGGATCTCTTTTAGCTGGCACCCTTCGGGCTCCTTGAATCTGAATGGCTGCATTGTGGAGCTCTGGGAATTTTTCAGCAATGATTTGTTTGACGGTGTTTTTTTCGTTGGGATTGTTTCTCTGAGGTTCAGGTAGTCCCATGATTCTAATGTTGTTCCTCTTTGAATCATCTGCTAGGACTCTGGTTCCCTGTAGAGCTATTTTGAGGTCCTTTGCCACTGTTTGTTGTTGGGTGTTGGCTTGGTGCAGCTGATCTTCGAACTCACTGATTCTATCTTCAGCAGCAGTCATTCTATTGTTAAGAGAACAGACTGAGTTTCTGATTTCATCTATGCAATCTTTTAATCATGACATTTCTGCTCTCATTTCTTCGTGTAATTTGTCGATTTTTTCTGTGGTGTTACTGGCTGTTTGTCTGACTGTTTCATTGAGTTGATTGAACATCTTCCTGACTTTCCATCTGAATTCCATGTCAGAGAGGTCCCTTAGGTTAGCGGTATCGACAGAATCTTCTCGATTGTTCACATTGTCCTCCCCTTGTTGTGGGGATTTTCTTTGTTTCTTCATATTGCTGAATAGGTTGGGGACTAGATTCCTTGGGGACTAGGTTCCTTAGTATGAGTAAACAACCTGCAGATGCGGGCCAGAAAATAAGCCACGCCCACTTGTGAAGAGGTCACGCCCCTACGAAAACCTGGGTTTGGGATGAGATGGGCGCCGTGTGAGGAGTGAAGAGGGCAGGGCAGACTCTCAAAACTGCTTCTCTCCAGGAGTCTCGGGAGACACCTGGGGTCTTGCAGGGAGAGATGGAGGTCCCAGGGTCGCGAACTGGCAGCTGAGCTGACCTGGGTTTGGGATGAGAGGGGTGCTGTGTGAGGAGTGAAGAGGGCAGGACAGATGCTCAAAACTGCTTCTCTCCAGGCGTCTCGGGAGACACCTGGGGTCTTGCAGGGAGAGATGGAGGTCCCAGGATCGCGAACCGAATGTATATTTTTTTTGCTTTTTGGGTCACACCTGGTGCTGCTCAGGGTTTACTCCTGGCTCATGCACTCAGGAATTGCTCCTGGCGGTGCTCGGGGGACCATATGGGATGCTGGGAATCGAACCTGTGTCAGTCATGTTGGCTGTGTGCAAGGCAAACGCCCTACCCACTGTGTTATCACTCCAGCCCCCGCTTGCCAATTTTTAAATCAAGCTGTTGTTGAATTAAAGAGTTCTTTGTATTTTGAACAGTGACCCCGGAAAGGATGTATACATTTTATTTTTTTGTATCATTTCACGAGTTGCCTTTTTACACAGTTGGTTATACTCTCTTGTGCAGTTTTCAATTCTGATGTAATTAATTTATCTTTTCTTCCTATTTTTGTTGTTTTTGGTGTCAGGATGTTGTTTTTGATGTTGCTATCTTTGAAAAATTCAATGTCATGCCATCCCCACCACTTTTCCTTTTGAGAGTTTTATACTTTTGTGTTCTATGTTATATAAATCCCAGTTCTGTCAACCAAAACTTAATGATTGACTCAAGACTACCTGCTTATCACACTAAACAGGATTAGTTTTTCCTTTAAGGGGATCAATCAGTTCAGTCCTACATGTTTTCTTCACAGATAGGAACTATCCAGAGAACTTCTTTGGAAGTTCCTCTTCAAATCTTGTGTTTCAAATGCCGATTTTAATGCATCATCTTTACAGTTAACACCACTAGATAGAATTACAAAAGTATTCCAGTTCAAGGAAAACAGGGAAAACTACGATAAGAAGCAAAAAAGGACTATCTCATGTATCTAAAGAACAAAGTGGACTTGAGACATCAACCTAGGCAGCCTTGTGATTAACAACTTCCTGATTAACAGATATCTTTGAATTAATGTTCTTGTGTACGTGTGGTAGATGCCCAGGAATTGAACACATCCCTATGTTTCATGAATCACGAATCACGACCATCCTGTTATTCGTCGATTGGCTCAAGCAGGCCCCAGTAACGTCTCCTTCATCCTAGCCCTGAGATTTTTAAGAAAGTGCTTTCCGGGAGCTGGATTTTATAGTCTTTTATCCTTATGTTTATGGAAGCATTATTTGCAATAGCCACGATCTGGAAACAGCCCAAGTGTGAAACAATAAATGAATGGATAAAGAAATTGTGGACTATATGCACAATAGAAATAGATGAATTTTTGCTGTTTGATGCAGCTTGTAAGAAGTTAAGCTAAGTGAAATGAGTCAAAAAGAAAAGGATAAACACAAGATAATTGTACTCATATGTGGAGTATAAAGAAACAAAACAAGGGATTCGACAATTCCTGAGGGAAACAAACCCTGAGACAGGACAAATAGAACTGTGATCTTAGGGTGCTAGAGCAGGGAGAGAAGAAGAGACCTTGAGATCATGGTGGAGGGATCCTAGTATTCTCGTGGTGGGTATGGAGTAGCAGCATCACGAGTATTTAAAAAATACTGGTACGTGCTGAAAGTAAACTATGGACCAAATATGATGGCCACTTAGTACCTATCTTGCAAATCATAACACCCAAAAGGAGAGAGAGAGTAAAAGGGAATGTGTCTGCCACACAGGCAGGGGATGGGAAGAGGTGGGGGTGGATGGGAAGAATGGTGGTAGAGAATAGGCACTGGTAGAGGGATGGGTACTCGAACATTGATTGAAGCATAATCACGGAACTTTATAAGTCTGTAACTGTATTTCACAGTGATTCATTAAAATAAAAAAATACTGGTACTATTGTAAACAACAACCATTTTTAAAAAGAAAATATATTGGAAAACCAGTTCTAGCTAACTACTGGAGCATGTTCAGTAAGATCAATCATCTTCACTTTTCTCTACATTAAGTTCAAAATACATATTAATTGAAATATCCTCTAGCTAAATAATTACACATTAATGATACATGGGACACATCAGAAATAATGTAGTTCTTATACACATATACAACTTTAACACCACCTTGATCATGCCCAACATTTAAAGTGGTGCAATCTAGTCTATTCTGAGGGCTATGGAGAATCAGAGGCTGAAGTGATAGCACAGTGGGTAAGGCGTTTGCCTTGCACACGGCTGACATGGCTGACCCAGGTTCGATTCGTCTGCCCCTCTCAGAGAGCCTGGCAAGCTACCGAGAGTATTTCACCTGCACAGCAAAGCCTGGCAAGCTCCCTGTGAGGTGTTAGATATGCCAAAAAATAGTAACAACAAGTCTCACAATTTGTTGTGAGACATTACTGGTGCCCGCCTGAACAAATCTGTGAACAACGGGAGGACAGTGCTACAGTGCTACATGGAGAATCAGACCATCTTTGTTATGCAAAAATCATTCTTTGAAAAGCAGATTTAGTATGTAGATGTCTTTACCCAAGTCCTAGTTCCAAAATATTTTTTATCATTCTGCATGTGACAGTTTTAGAAACAAAGCAGCTACTGTAATCCCACACTTGCTGAATAGCATTACTACATAAATCTGAAGCATTCTCAGTAAATGCCTATGCCTAACAGTAGTCTTACTTAGTCCAGCAGATGTTGTCCAGTAACTGCTTCATAGTCATGCGGTCCCACTTTTCTGCATGGGGTGCCTTCCATGGGGCTTCATTTGGAATCTACAGTTAGAAGAAGATTTTTTAAAAGGGGGAAGTGTTCTTTTCCACTTAAATAACTATTTCAATAGTACGTAAAAACTAACTTAAAGAAAGAAAATTTGAGTTTTATAAATTCCCCATTAGTAACTTTTACTAATGCTATCAATGATGGCTTTGTAGTGTTTCTATTATAGACACCTACACCATACAATATATGTATGACACTTTGTACACAATAAATAAATGGAGGCTATGTTGTAATCGAGGTGTTTCTACACATTAATTACTAAACTGCTAATTAAGAAAGAACATTATAGATTCAACTAGAATTAGATAGTTGCACCAAATCAGTTCTAAATTTGACTTCCAGGTGAAGCTTCGTGTGAATTTATTTATTGGCTATTGGTTTGAACAGGGGTGGAGCGATAGCAGAACGGGTAGCACGTGTGCCTTACACGCTGCCGACAAGGCCGACCCGGGTTCGATTCTTCCACCCCTCTCGGAGAGCCTGGCAAGCTACTGAGAGTATCTCGCCAGCACAGCAAAGACTGGCAAGCTCCCCATGACTTATTTGATATGCCAAACACAGTAACAAGTGTCGCAATGGAGACGTTACTGAGCCCGCTTGAGCAAATAGATGAACAATGGGAGGACAGTGCTACAGTGGTGACTCAAAGGTCCAGAATTAGGTCTAAAGGTTTTTGAAGTAAGAAACTGCATCTCAGGAAGACTGAGTGATACATGATCTTCTTTCCTCATCAGTAATATACAAACACCAGTCTGTTATATAGATACATTGTTCTTTATAAAGATTAGAAAAAGTCCCATCCATTAATTTCACAAATCTTTACTGCTAGTCACTGTGTAGTAGAAAATATTCTAGGTCATTATGATGGCATCTTATTTTGGGTTGGGATTTCTCCCAATAGGTTCTCGTCGGGGGATAAAGATCACTCCAGGGGATACTCAGCAGCTGGCTTAATTAAAATTAAAAAATATTTGTTTAAAGATTGCATTCATCTGGGGAACATAAAGTAACAAAATAGGAGATTAATACCCAAGAATAGCCGAGATCAGCACCAGGAGGATTACTCCATGGCTTAGAGGCCAGCCGGGCATTCTAGGGGAAAGGGCAGCTCAGATAGAGAAGAGAGCACCAAATAAAGGGTGTTTGGAGGATCCTCCCAGGAGGGGAGATACATGTTGAAAGTAGACTATGGACTGAACATGATTGCCACTCAATGCCTCTCTTGCAGAACACAACACACAAAAGGAGAGAGAGAACAAAAGGGAATGCCCTGCCACAGAGGCAGGGTGGGATGGGGGGATGGGTGTAGGAGGGATACTGGGATCCATGGTGGTGGAAAATGGGCACTGGTGGAGGAATGAGTACTTGATCATTGTATAATAGAAACCCAAGCACAAAATTTGTAAATCTACAACTGTACCTCATGGTGTTTCACTAATAAAAAATAAAATAAATAAAAAAATCACTCCAGGGGATACTCAGCAACTGGCTTAATATTGATTTAGAGCTGCTTGGACCCAGTGGCACTGGGAACCACAAGGACCACATCTGGTAGTACTTGCGGGCCTTTAAAACTTTACTCAGTGGTGATGGACATGGAGAGGTGAATGTGCTGCCAGAAATCAAACCTGGGTCCCTGCAAATGACCCCCAGGCCATTTTCCCATATACACAGCTTTTTTCTTTTAAGGACTAAACTTTAAAAAATATCACAAATGTAGTCAAAGAAGCTTTAGGAAATTTTACCTCTCTTCCCATGTCATCCATTGTCCTCCAGAGGTTGTTGTAATCCAGAATAGTAATTGGATTCCACATAGGTGGGAATGGTCCCCTAAAAGGGTAGGATTTTCCCTGTGAAATACAAGAAGAATTTTTAAAAAAATATTATATTTTAAAAGAAAACATTTGCTTCACATAAAAGAAGTTAAGTCTGTCAAACAGATAAATGTCTACAAAATCACACTAGTTATTCACATATATTACATACTAAAATGCTTTCATATTTTCTGTCTTCCAAGTTGTGCTCAGGAGACCCCTAACCACTTCTGATGATTCTCAGCTAACATGGTCAGTGGTTCATTCTGAGGAACTGAGAATCTGGTGTCGTTTTGTGCCTGTGATTTCATGGACCACCAGGGTCACCCCAACAGTGTTAGGAGACCATCAATGCTACAGTTAGCAGTGCTGTCTTCAGCGCTACAACTAATGATGATCGGGGTGGGGGTTAATTTGGTTCTGATGATTGAATCCAGATTGGGTGCATGTAAGGCATACTAGGCTTTTCAGCACAGGTAATTCCAGAAAAACTCCTGTTACATTAACAAATTTTGTGACATAACCAATGAAGCAAAATGTTTCTCTCTGAAATTGAAACCCTTATCACATAAAAATTAAATGGTGGTATAGAAGTGACATTACCTAAAGTAGTCTCATTTATCTATGATGCTTGCAAATATCTAAGAGTGGGAGATCATGTGAGCCTGATGGGTGTAAACATTTTATCTATAAATACTATATAAATTATAAGAGGGTAAAAAACCAATAATGTGAATGAAACAATCCATATGAAAAGCCAAAAAATAAGTCTCAGCAAGCTTTTCACAAGGAATCAAGCGTGCTAATTAAACATTTTTAAAGATCAGGAATTTCATGGCAGAAGACACAACTTCAAGTCTTTCCTTATGTTTACAGCTACCTGTTTACAACTATCTTATTCTCCCAACACAGCAGGCTCACCTTTAAAAAGATATAGAGGGCACATGTTTCTTCAAGTTATAACAATAAATGTTTATTGTTCATCTCTGGGAGGCTTGAGTTAAGGGACACTCAGAAATCACTTTAGGTTAGATAGAAATACTCTTATAGTAGTCAAGATTTTTTTAGAGAAAGGAGAGAGAGAGAGAGAGCGAGAGAGAGAGAGAGAGAGAGTGTGTGTGTGTGTGTGTGTGTGTGTGTGTGTGTGTGTGTGTGTACTGTCTGGGAGACGTATAGGCATGAGTTATGGGGAAACATGAGGGTCTGGTAACTCCAAAATCTCAAAATCTTTAGGGTAAGCCTATAGATCTGTTTCCAGATCTTCCTCTTTCTGGGGAGACCTCAGTATTTTATTTTATTTTTTTTATTTTTCAAAATATTGGACGACGTCCTTCTACTTTGAGGAGCAATCTGTTTTATTCAGTCTACTAATTGGTTTACTGTAATTTCAGAGGCATACCCAAAGGTGCTTAGAGGAACATGTTGTACTCACATATGCAGACGACACATTTCAACCCTTTGAATACTTCCCCAGGCCCCATCCATCATGTTCGGTCCATAGATTACTTTCAGCAGGCATCTCCCATCCTGGGCAGATAGTCCCAGCACCCTTTATTTGGTGCTCCCTTTTGTATCTGAGCTGCCTTTACCCCTAGAGTGTGCGGCAGGCCTCTAAGCCATGGAGCGAACAACCTGGTATTTATCACAGCTGTTCTCGGCTGTTAGTCTCTTATTTTGTTACTTTATGTTACCCAGATGAAGGCAATCTTTCTATGTCTGTCCCTCTCTTTCTGACTCATTTCGCTTAGCATAATATTTTCCATGTAGTACCACTTGTATGTAAATTTCATGACTTCAGTTTTTCTAACTGCTACATAGTACTCCATTGTGTAGATGTACCAAAGTTTCTTTAACCAGTCATCTGTTCTCGGGCACTCAGGTTTTTTCCATATTCTAGCTATTGTAAACAGTGCTGCAATGAACAAACAAGTGCAGATGTCACTTCGACTATACTTTTTGGCCTCTCCGGGGTATATTCTGAGGAGTAGTATTGCTGGGTCAAATGGGAGCTCAATTTCTAATTTTTGAGAGTAGTCCATCCTGTTTTCCAAAAGGATTGAACCAGTCGGCATTCCCACCAGCAGTGAAGGAGGGTCCCTTTCTCGCCACATCCGCACCGACACAGGTTGCTTTTGTTCTTTTGAATGCGAGCCAGTCTCTATGGTGTGAAATGATATCTCATTGTGGTTTTGATCTGCATCTCCCTGATGATTAATGATGTAGAGCATTTTCTCATGTGCTGTTTTGCCATTCTCATTTCTTCTTTGAGAAACTTTCAGTTCATTTCATTGTCCCATTTTTGATGTGGTTGGATGTTTTCTTCTTGTGGAGTTCAACCAGTACCTTGTATATCCTTGATCTCAACCCCTTGCCTGATGTGTATTTGGTGAATATACTTTCCCATTCTGTAGATTGTCTTTGTATTTTGGTCACTGTTTCTTCGGAGGTGCAGAAGCTTCTTAGTTTAAGATAGTCCCATTTGTCTATCTCTGTTTTCACTTGCTTGGCCAGTGTTTGACATCTTTGAAGATACCACTAGCTTCAATGTCATGGAGGGTTTTGCCAACTTTGACTTCAATGTACCTTATGAATTCTGGTCTGATGTTGAGGTCTTTGATCCATTTTGATCTTACTTTTGTACATGGTGTTAGGCAGAGATCTAAGCCCAGTTTTTTGCATGTAGTCGTCCAGTTTTGCCAGCACCATTTGTTAAAAAGGCTTTCCTTACTCCACTTCGCATTTCTTGCCCCTTTATCAAAGATTAGATGATCATAAGTTTGAGGGGAGATGTCAGTATATTCAACCCTGTTCTATTGGTCTCCAGCTCTGCCTTTGTTCCAGTACCACGCTGTTTTAATTATTACTGCTTTGTTGTAGTGTTTGAGGTTCGGGAAGTTAATTCCTCCCATTTTCTTTTTCCCAAAAAATGCTTTAGCTATTCGAGGGGTCTTATTGTTCCATATAAATTTCGGGAGTGTTTTCTCCATTTCTTTGAAGAATGTCATGGGTATCCTTATAGGGATTGCATTGAATTTGTACAGTGCTTTGGGAAGTATTGCCATTTTGACAATATTAATTCTCCCGATCCATGAGCAGGGGATATTTTTCCATTTCCTTGCGTCCTCTTTTATTTCAAGAAGAAGCGTTTTGTAGTTTTCTTTGTACAGGTCATTCCCTTCCTTAGTTAAGCTAATTCCTAGGTACTTGATTTTCTGGTGTACAATTGTGAATGGGATTGTTTTCTTCATGTCATTTTCTTCTCTCTCACTATTTGTGTATAGGAAAGCCATGGACTTTTGGGTATTGATTTTATAGCCTGCAACTTTACTATACAAGTCTATCGTTTCTAGGAGTTTCTTGGTAGAGGTTTTAGGGTTCTCTAAGTATAATATCATATCATCTGCGAATAGTTAGAGCTTGATTTCTTCCTTTCCTACTTGGATGCCCTTAATATCTTTTTCTTGTCTAATCGCTATTGCAAGTACTTCCAGTACTATATTGAACAGTAGTGGAGAGAGTGGGCATCCTTGTCTCGTCCCTGATCTTAGGGGGAAGGCTCTCAGTTTTTCCCCATTGAGGATGATGCTTGTTGTAGGCTTGGCTACTCACAATTCTTGGGCCTAGTATTGCTGGGGAACCACCAGGCTACACTGACAATGCTGGAGGAACATTAGGTTCTAGGGATTGAATTCAGGGTCTCACACATGCAAGTCATATTTATACACCACCCCCTCTGAGTGCTCTCCCATGCTCCTAGAATAGTATTTAATCACGTATGGGTACTGTGACTTAGGAAATTTGATACATAAAATTAACCATCACACTTTGTTTGTTTGTTTGTTTATTTTGGCCACATCCAGCAGCGCTCAGGGGCTACTGTGGCTCAGTGTTTGGGAGCTGTTCCTGGTAATGTCAAGAGGATCATGTAGTACCAATGATCATACCTAGGCCTTCTGCCTGTAAATCATGTGCTCCAGCCTCTTGAACTATCTCTCCTGCCCACATCACATTTATTTTTATTTTTCATTTGTTTCACATAACATTTGTTGACCACATTTGTAAAGGTATAATTTACATACAATATACCCCTTTACATTTTTTGTTTATTTAAATTTTGTTTTGGCCACTATGATTTACAACTGTACAATATTGACAATGGTAGTGTTTCATACAATTAACATTTCAACACTACACCCACCATCAGAGCATCCATTTCTCACCATTGTCTCAGGGTCCACCCTCCATCTCCCCTTACCTCTGTTGGCCTCCATATACCCAACTTCTCATGTCTCACTGCCAGGGTATTCTCTGTTCTATATACCAGTTATTAGATTCTGCTGCTTTTGGCCATTTTAGGAACAGATTAATTGAGTAGACTGTAAGAGGGCAGTGAAGGAATTCTGACAAGATGCAAATTCTTAAACGTAAATGGCTGGCTGTCTTAATCTATGTATGCACAGTTGTAACCACTAGCACAATCAAATATAAAATATCCTCATTAAAACCCAATGTCCTCTTTTACCCTTTTCCAGTCAATTCTTGTCACCTAATCAGTCCCAAACAACCTTTGATCAACTTTCTCTTACTATCAGTTGACTACCACCTATTCTAGAATTTCTTTTATATAAAAATGGAAGTATGATCAACAAATACTTATATTTACTTTTAGATTGGGTATATATAAGAGAAAAATATGTAACGTTAAAAACCATTCAACATGGCTGAGATTAGTACCAGGAATTTTGCTCCATGACTTGAAGGCCAGCCACACGTGCTAGGTGAAAAGGAAGCTCAGATAGAGAAGAGAGCACCAAATAAAGGGTGTTGTGAGGACCGTCCCAGGGTGGGAGAAGCATGCTAAAAGTAGTCTATAGACCAAACATGATTGCCACTCAATGCCTCTCTTGCAAAACACAGTACCCAAAAGAAGAGAGAGAGAACAAGGGGGAATGCCCTGCCACAGAGGCAGGGTGGGACGGGCAGGATGGGGGGTGGGGGGACCCGTGGTGGGGGGATGCTGGGACCCGTGGTGGTGG